CAAACTTCTGCTTTCCTCGAGGTGTTCACACTGATGATGATGAGCTAACTAAGTGTGTGTTACTCCCACTCTTCATTCCAGTGGCAGCAGCAAGGCTTGTGTGGGGACGTAACAGCTGCAGTTGCGTCTGGTGTTTGCATTCATCATAGTTTTGAATGTTCCCACATGTATAATGTTAGAAGTGACAGAGAGAGGACTCGTATGGCAAAAACAGCTGTTCAATAAGAGAACGAGCTATGATTCATATACCAGCAGTTTGACTAATAACATGAGTTCTGCCACCCACGTATTTGTGTTTCAGAAAAGAATGGGACACATGTTTGGTGGCAGTAGATCATCCTGGTAGTTCATCCGTTCCTCAGAGCTGGGTCCTGCCGAACCCCCCATCAGACCAGGCCTGGGCCTCCGCCCTGCAGACGAGTGACACGGACTGTGAGAACCTCTGACTGGTCCTCGGCTGCACAGTGCAACAACCAGGTGACGGAGACAAAGATGGCCGCAGCTTACCTGGAGCTTTCAACACGCTTCCATCGACGCTTAGACGACAGGAGCAGCAGTCTCTGCATTTGAAACGGATGTAAGCCTTCTTGGGACAACAGGAAGTGTTTTATCTGTGAGGTGCAGCGTGGAACAGCCCACAGTATGGACTTATGCCTGTTTTCTTTACTCAGTAACAGTTTGTGTTTTACTCTGATGAATTTTCTAAAGACAAAATAAAATGAACAATATGAAGTTGTCACGCAGTTTATTATCCACAGCAACATATTACTCATGGTTCAGTGCCCATGTGTTTAGGAGAAAGTGTCACCTGTAGCCCGACTCACATGAGAGGGGTAAACGCTGCTCGATCACAGAGGTGTGGGCACAGCAGGACGTGTCTGCGTCCTCTGATCGTGTGTTTTCCCAGCTCTGTGGTCTGCAGCAGCTTCATTTCTATTCAAAGACTTTACACTATATTGGTAGCTACAAATACTACAGCCCCCCCCCTTTAAGACGTCTGGTCTTCTGATTAGCTGCCCTGTATAAACATCGGAGCCAAGAGCTGAAAAGGTGTTGATCTCACAGGGATCACGTGTACTTTCTTTGACCTCTTCGGTCATGTTGCCATGTTTAATGATTGTCCTCCACTGTGAAAACACGTAATGCACCTAATAAAGTGACCGGGAGGTAAGTGTGGCCACTATGTTGTTAGGTATAATTAGTGTGTGTTAAGTCCTTATTGACTTCAGAACAGCCTTAGTTGTCACGCTCAAGAACCCAGTCTGACATTATTTGGACTTTACCTCACGACGGCTTATCCTAAAGAAGATGCCTGCACATCAGCAACAAGACTTGGGTAGACTGGCGTTCAACAGTGCTGAGGAGGCACTAAGGAGCTCTTCTGCAGACAGTTTAAAGCGGTCTGGTTGTTCTCCCCTTATTGCTGCCGCAGCTGCTGCCACCAAGCTGCTCATTGTGTGTGTGTGTGTGTGTGTGTGTTAAAGATGCCATCAGATCATCAGTTTCTGAAATACTCAGGTCAGCCTGGCACCAAGTCCCTTCAATCACCTTTTTTCTTTGTGCATTCTGATATTTAAACTTCAGTAGTGCGTCTTGATTGGGTCTACATAGCTAAAGGGATTAAGTTGCTGCCGTGTCATTGGCTGATTATATACTTGAACACCTAATAAAATGGTCTGTGTATATACACATATACGTTCAGACTCAGACAGGTGCCCTGGAGTCTAACATTTGTGTGACTTCACACAAATATTAGGGACATGTGGGTGTCCTCGCGACTGCAGCACCATCTGATGTCCTTACTTGCTTCTCTTGAGCTGTCAACTGTGTACACAGTAAGTCAGCTGATGAGGGTTACTGGAGATCAGTGGATTAGTGTCCCAGGTGGTTCTCTAAGTGATGAGTGATACATCACAAACTAAGTGACTGCAGCTCTGACCACACAAAGACACAAGGGTAAGCTTTTTTTCTATTTTCAACAGTGTATTTCATTAGATCTCTCCCTGTGTGTATATACATATGTATGTGTGTGTGTGTGTGTAGGGAGAGTGGGGGATTTAGAGCACATTTTATTGTATTTATGAAAGGCACATAGTCTGCTATGTGACTTAAAGAGTAGTGAGTGTGCAGCATCAGATAATTATACTTGTCTTAACAAGTCTTGCACAGCTTTTGAACTTAGAAATAGTCATATACACATTTGTTCTTATTTGTTCAGCAGCAGAAAGCGTCAGAGGTGACACACTAAGCCTCCAGCATCTGTGCTCTTTGGTGTTGCGAGTCCTCGGCCATCTGTCTGCTGGCTGTGTCTTCATGCTGCACAAACCTGATTAGTGCTGAGTGCACAGAGTTGTCTGTACCATCTCTCTCGCACACACACACATTAACACCTAGAGACAAACTGTAGGTTTGTTTGTTTGTGAAAGAGGCCGTCCATTCTCTAATCTGAGCTCGAGATGACAAAGGAAAAGCTCATAATGACGGTTTTCTAGGAAAATCCTTTCTCGCTGCTTCATGCTCTGTTTATGAATGTGATAAACACTTCAGCAGAGCTCCTCTTCATCCTTGTTTTCCGGATAGAAGTAGTTTCTATGAGCCTAGAGGAGGATAACAGAGGCTGCATCATTCCTACTGATGCAGAGTAATGATGGTGTCGTGGTACCTGTGTGCTGATGACTGAGAAATGGATTGAGCGTTGTTGGCAGTCTGACATCTTTATTCAAGCCTGACTGAGCATGGAGAACACAACTGTACCTTACAACAAAAATTGTACTGTTTGACAAAGAGAGTAGTTGAAGGAAGATTTATACATTGATTGTGCTGATGAGGACAACCTGTACTCACTGAGCCGCTTCGACGTCTGATGTGCATCACCTTTATGAAGATGAAAATCGCCTGCTGAAGTTGAGTGGAATCCCCTCTGAGGAAGACCGGTGGAAGACTGGACTTGGACTTTGTAGCACAGACTTATTACTGTAGAATCCAAACATTCGACAGTTGTTGATCCAAAGTAACACTCAAAGCAGTGATGCTCTTACCTTTCTTCACATGCTGGAAAAAGTAAATACAAAGAGCATTAAAAGAAATTATAATAACCCAGTTATCACATGATGTTAATTGTTTTTATAACTTTATTGAATATATTAGCAATAACAATAATGTTTGACAGATTACAGAGAGAAAAAAGAGACGATGTTTTATTTGGCCTAATGGAAATCTTCAGGCTTCTCGTGGGAGGAATCATCAGGGACTCTAATATAAAAGCAGAAAATATCGAAAGGCCAGCAGAAGTGGAGTGCACACTTCTGCAGTTAGAGCGGAGGGGTTAGAACAGGGCCACTGCCTGAACCCTGCAGCTCTCTGAGCTCATGGAAATACAGATTGTTGTATTTCCTTTCAGGGAGCACGGCGGTCCACATTACAGATCCACAACTGGAGGGATTGTGTGAGTTGTTCTATGGCTGACTTATCTTTGTTTTCTCAGTGGACTGAGCAGTATGGATGGTGTACCTCTGAGGGTGCCTCAGAGTGCTTCCTTTCAGGAACTAAAATATTCTGTCAGTACGACTGTCCCTGACTACTTCAACATCCTGCAGGAGACAGAGGTGAGTGTGTTTCTCTCTCTTGTGTTTCCCTGTTTGCTCCTCCTCCTTGCTGTTCTGTCTGTTGTGCAGTGTACCTTCTTTGCTGCACTGCTTTGAGCTGTCACCATTATTTCACTCCTTTAAAAAACACCAAAACAAACAAACCCTATCACACTGACAGGTGATAAGTTACAGGAAGAACCTTGGCTCAATATCTGACTTTTTATGTTTTTTGTATGTATGTGATTAGTACACACTTACTAGCACTGCCAAATAAAACATTGCTCTTTACAGCTTTATGAGTATATGAAAGATGAAGGTAGATCTCGGACAAGAATGTTACAGCTGATCAGATTCCATACACAACATCACAGGTCTCTGTGCAGAAGAGTGCAGTCCTAGGATCAGCTGAGATACTGCACAGAACCCTCAAACTCGCAGGTAGAGGGCCTTGCACATACCACTAAAGGATGTACACTTTAACAGGTAGCACTGGTATGGAGCTGTCTTAGATTCAACCAGGTGCTGGAAACATTTCGTAGATTTTGGTCCATATTGACATGATGTCAGAACCCTGCACAGGAGGGTAAGCCACAGAAGATCACAGAAAAGGCTGGATGCTTGCTGAGTGCTACATCTACTCACTTTAATAGAAAGTAGATTAAATGGGAATGGGATAGAAAAGGTGGTCGTGACAATACAGAACATAGTCTGTCTGTTATTTTTATTTATTTATTTTTTTCATTTATTTGTATACCACTTTGGTCTACTAGGTGTGTTTTTAAAGTGCTGTACAATACGAATTTAAATATAATAGTAAAATAGCAAAAACCAGACATTGCAAAAAAAAAAGAAAAAAGCCAGTCACCCACAGAGTTAAAGGCCAGGATGGAAGATAAGAAACATCTGACCCCAAAATAAAAACGGTCATCAAAGCAACCTGGGCTTCAAATCACCTCCAAAGGGCTACGAGGGGATTGTCTCCATGCCACATTAATGCAATAATTAATGGGAGAGCATCCCTATCAAAGTATTTTTCATCCTCATCACTGAGTACAAATCAACATACTTTCCAGATGTTAGACATTTCTGTATTGTAAATGGTTTTTAGAGTAGTCATTGGTAATAATGTGAGATGCTAGATGCTATGTTTCACAAGCCTTACATTAGCCAGTCAAGTGTTGTTTACACTCAACTGGCTAATGTTAGCAAGCCAAAAGACTAAACAATAAAATAATGAAAAGCCTGTCATCATTGAGTTGAATTTAAAAATGTAGCTTCAGACCTACAGAAGGACTTACACGATGTTTGCATGTTTGACAGTATGGATTCAGTCTGGAGAACTGGGTGCTAACTGGGCTGCAAAGTGGCTTTGCCACCCAGCACCAGCTTAACCCCTCTTCCTCTTCATCAAGCCTGCTGTCATCTTGTCCACCATACTGGATGCTGTTTAGCAGCCCTGGACAGAGCCTGGACTTCTGCGAGCCCAGCCCTTGGCAGCGGTCCCACAGCCTCAACTCCTCCATCCTGCGTACCAAGGCTACCATCTCACCTTCACATGACGAAGAGGGCACTACACAGAAAGCCAGGACGAGTTCCATAGTGACAGTGAGTCCAGGGGAACAGCATCCTTCTGCAAACTGTCAGCGTGGTCAGAGGAAAGCACAGAAGGCCTTTGTCCCTGACCTGCTGAACCCCCCGGCCTGTCTGAGCAGCCTGCCCCACCAGCGCAGAAAGAACCTGCGCCAGTGTTCACTGTCAGTGCTCGACACGCCCACACAACAAGATCCCAACACAGAGACTTATCCCCAGAGCGCTTCATCACACACAGCCTCGGACACGAGGATCCCTCCCAGCAGAACCAGCACAGCCAGCATGGTAAGAGGAACATGTGAGCTGTGTGTTTATGTGTGCGTGTGCTTTTGAAACTTTTACTGCAGAATGTAATACACAGTACAATACAGCCGATGACTGTGATTCAGCATCACTGTCCAGGGAAAAAACACTAAATTCACACAGCCGTCTTCCAGCTTTACTTTGTGTTTATTGTCATAATTTCAGTATGTGGCTGTTCATTCACGAGGCCATGTGAGTTGGCAGTGTGGCGAAGTCTCAGTAGTCTAGACTATTGATAGTTCTATTTCCTGTCTAAATATAGCTTGAAGCTCATGGCAGTACCATCACCTGAGCTGCACGGTCAGTCTCGAGTATAACTAGAACCAGACAGGCTCAGCATGATAACAGGTTCACTCTGTTTATAGTCAGGGTTGTGACTATTGAGATGTGTCAGATATTCTCATGGGATTACATTTCTTTTAATGTCAGCACTATTAACTATGAAAGGAAATAAGGTTTTCCTATCCAGCTTTTCTCCATTTTGCATTTTCAAAATGTTTTTCATGGATTTGCACTCTAAAAATAATCTGCGTAAAGTATGCTCTCTGAATGCAGCCAAGGTGCAAGAGCTTCACGAGGATTAGCTAGTGTGAATTCTCACTAAAGCTGCACGTCAGGTCTACCATGCCCTGTTCTTTCTCAGCCACTCGCTACATTCACTGCAGTCTGCCATTTCTTAGATATTCAGACCAGACACCTGTAGAAACCCCCCTGTCATGTCAGGCCCCAGGGGTTTGTCCTCCTCTGCTTTGGACTCTACAGCAGAACTCCTGTCAGCTCTAAACCCAGCGGAGAGAGAGTTGCTGGAGGCCATCACTGCAAGGGGCTACTCTCTTCATACTGCCATCACTGCCCTTCAGAGGACAGGACAGCAGACCCCTGATGAGGTCAGTGTTATATCCAACAACAAGGCAGTGCTGCTCGAAAACACTTGGTCAACTTTTGGCTCCAGCTGTCGGGATCATGCAGTCTGTTCTATAAACACTGATGCAGTACAAATGCAGCTACTATAAGTCAGTGTGAAAATAGTGGTCACACTTGGACCTGCAGCATTATGGGTCCATGAACCAAACAGAATAAATCTGAAAGGACAAGAAAGGATGGGTGAGAAACCAGGATCAGCCTTAACTGTGCATGGATTAAATAGCTTTAAAGAAACAAACTTAGTCCTTCGGCAACATTTGTTAGTTCTGATACTGGAAGATTAAAGACTAGTGTATTTCATGATTTCACAGAGCTCACACTCTGATCTGAACTCTGTGCCTCAGTCAGTATGAGGTTCTCTATCATTGGCTTCGTCTGCTCACCCCTAACTTGTCGTGGCAGATGGTTGCCTTCCCCAGCCTGGTTCTGCTGGAGGCTCTTCCTGTTAAAAGGGAGTTTATATTTCCCACTTTCACCAAATTTCTTGCTCATAGAGGGTCACATGATTGTTGTTGTTTTTTTCTGTTTTCTCTGTATTAATGATTGGTCTTTACTAGAGATGACACGATACCATTTTTTTTATGTCCGATACCGAGATCATAAATTTGGATATCTGCCGATACTGATATGAATCCATATAGTGTGTTTTTTAATCAATATTTTAATTTTTTAATATTTTAATCAATCAATTTTAATATCTTGCTGCTTTTTGTATAAGTTCATACTCTGTTATACCTGTATGCAAAAAATACACTTCACCCAAAATATTTCATAGTTCAGCAAAACTGATCAATCTAATAAACTTAAACCTGCAGCATCCTCCCTATTCTAGTATTTTAAAGAGTAAGCAACCTAACTAATAGGGTTGCAAAAATAAAAAAAAAATTAAAAAAAAGGGAACCACCCTCCACCTCATGATGCTTAATCAACGTAATCAACTTTAATTTGATGCAGTGTGAAAAAAATGCACAGAAATAAATTATTTTCCAAGAAATATTAAATAGATTCAACATCTTTCCTGCAGACTGCACAGATGGTACCTTCCCAAAGGAAAAAGTACTGTAGCTTACTAGGGTATATTAGACTTAACAGTTACTATATACAGTAATTGACTTCTATGTATTTTACATAAGATTAAAACTTTGGGTGTCAGATTCAGATAATTATTTATTAAAAGCTCGACATTTTAAATGAGAATAAGAAAGAAAAGTATGTCTTTGTGCCCCCTTTTCCCTGTTCATGCCCTATCGGCCCCCCTGGCTAAACTTTGCTAGCTCCGCCCCTGCACAGTTACAGCCGTCAGCTGCGTAGAAAAAGATCCTGGTGTAGAAAGTAATATTAAATAAATTCTAACCACAGCTGATCAAGCTTAAACGTGCTGCTTTTGTGCTGCTCTATTACATTTTTTATTTCTCTCCGATATCTGATCCAGTAATTTACGTCAGTATCGGACCGATACCGATACGTAATATCGGATCGGTCCATCTCTAGTCTTTACATAACAATATAAAGCAGCTCGGGGTGGCTGTTGTTCTGATTTTGCACTATAAATGAAATTGAATTAAATTGTTATCTTCTTAATCACAGTAATAAGAAATGACTGCCTTACAGAGCATATTATTGTGTTCCTGTTTGGTCTGGACACTGTGCTTTGTGTATGTTAGAGCAGAAACAGGTTGAAGTAATGTGTGGATGGTGGATTAGTGTTAGTCAGAGCATCACTAAAGTTTATATACGTTGTAGAGGAACATCCACAGTTTCAAAGGCCTGTAACAGAAAAGATGACACATACGTTTTAACGAAATGGTTGGTTTGGAAAGTAAGTTGTTGAGAAAGTTCTACAGGAAAGTAAATTTTTTTTCCCCAAATCACTTTAAACTTACTCTCAACTTCACTGAATATTGAAAACAACAACTGGCCCTAATATAATCCTCATCTGTCGCACTCATGCACCAGGGTTGTGTTTTTGCTTTTATTTGTCACCCATCTGTAAACAAATGGAAAATATAAAATTACATTTTACAAATTAAACTATACATATACATACTACTTTTTAATTTATTACATAAACCTTACCCAATGAATCAATCAACTGACTAACAAAAAATTATTTGGCAGTTATTTTGGTTAATAATGGAGTTCCACCGGGTTCTGTGCTAGGACTAGTTCTTTTTACATTAGGCATTATCCCTAGAAGGCATAGCATACCCAGATACCCAACTTTATCTATCCGTAAACCCAGATAATGCGCAACAATTAGTTAAACTGCAGGAATGTCTTAAAGATGTAAACATATGGACTACCCAAAATTTCTTGTTTCTAAATGCAGATAAAACTGAGGTTATTGTATTAATTGAATCTGATTGGAAACAGTCAATAACTTTTTCCATGTGACAGCTCTTCTCTTGTCCATCCTGTATGAATGAATATTTGGCAGATCTTGAGTTATCTGGTGGCGTGTGACCACTTGTGTCAGCTGGGTTATGACATGTCCCAGGTGGAAGAGGCCTTGGAGATGTTTCAAAACTGTGAAACAAAGGTAAGTCTTTAAAGTTATCAGAGACAACAAAGCTTGGCACTTTTTGTCTGATGAAGTCAGTTCGATTAGAAACTTTAAAGAAAGTAAATGTTTTCTTTCTCGAGGCAAAGGAGTTCCTACACCTGCTGAATCAGTTCAATGAGATGGGCTTTCAGAAGAATGCCATCAAAGAAGTGCTGCTGGTTCATGAAAACCACCGAGATCGGGCCCTGGAGGAGCTGATGATGCGTGTGTCCTGATAAAACACACACACTTTTCACATTGATATCTTGCAGACAATCATCTGTATTCTAAAAATTGCAGTCATATCTGACCTTGTGCTGGTATGAAACAACTGCACACATATAGTTGATGCTGACACTGCATTGTTAGATGATCTATTCATATTTCTGAATTAACCCATATCTTCTTTACCACTTTTTTAGATTCATTTTGGAACAAAAATACTCTGATTAAAGTCCTGCTGTGTCTAAATTTTGAAGTGACGTAAATATTTGTAGTAATTGTGAACAAACTTATTAAAAGTGTGAAATTAATTTACACCATGACCATCTGTTTTCTTCAAGGACTGTGCAATAAAAAGTGTATATTACAGGGTGGGTCCCACAAACAAACACGATAAAAAGCTGCAAAGCAACATTAGTGCTAGCTTTGCAGCTTCATCCATCAATCCTGCTTTGATTCCTCCGTAGACAGTCTGAACAGTAAACAGTCTGAAACAATAGTTTGGGCAGACTAAACCAATTCTTTAGAGGTGCGATTGAAACAGCTGCAGTGTGGGCTGTAATCCTTTGCCACATATTATTAGAATAGAAATCAGAATGATGATCACCAGCTTTTAAATGTGCTGAGAGCATCCCAGGGGACATCTGTGACAGACATCAGTGTCTCTCAGGTTCTGGCTTGGGCAATTTCCTAAAAGGGAGGGAGTGGGTTTAGGAAGCCTCATCAAAAATGTATATATGGATCCAATCCTGCCAAAACCTTTCATCTCACGCCGGAGCCTCCATTTGTTCTCCTCTATGGTGTACTCTGTGGTCACGTGTCTGCTGAGCGTGAACACAGAATCTCCTCTGACCGCTGCCGTGAACAGAGAGCTCTTGCTGTTCCCGTACTGACCGGACATCACTGTCCACTGATCTGAAGTCAGGTTGTAACAGTCCATCACACATTGTAAGAAGTCTTCACATGGTCCATTCCGCATCACATAGAGGTTATCCCTGTGGGCCACCATATGAAGACCATAACTGTGCTGGCGGATGAGTGTAGTGACCAGATTCCACCGATTGTGTTCAGGTACGTACTCAAGGATGTCTGTGGCCCCTTTCCCTTTCCAAAGACAGATATAGATCCTCTTCATGGCTACAGTGGACATCACTGAGGCTGCAGGGCACGGGAGGGAGGAAACAAAACTCCAGTTCTGATCAGACAGCCCATATCTCTCCACTGATGACAGAGCCTTCTTGTTATACTCCCCTCCTATAGCATAGAGACATCCCTCATGACCTATCAGAGAGAAGTTGTAGCGTAGCTGCTGAGGTCCACAAATCACTGACCATGAATTGGCCACGGGATCGTAGCAGAATCCAGTCTCCACTACCTTCTTGCTTAAATCATACAATCCTCCGATTATGTACAGTTTGTCGTCGAGGACTGCCACGCCTGCCATGATAGTGCTGGTGCTCATAGGAAGATGTGTGAGGATTCGCCACTCTTTTTGCTCTTCATCCAGATGACACACTGTCCTCTGGGCATCCTGGAGCAGCTCAGTGGATGGAGAGTGACTGCACACTGCCATGTAGCTACTTGGGAGAAGAGACTCAATGTACTCCAGCAGCTTACTGGGTAAGCTACGAACCTCCTCCCCTAGGTCAGCGTACATGTCTCTGATGAATAAAGCTGCTCTGTGGAACAACTCCCACTCTCCGTAGGTTGCAGCTGTATGAAACATGAGCAAGCAGTTTTGGGAATTTATAATATTGATCAAATGCTTGGTGAGAGCTGGCACCTGGAGAAAAGCCGTACACTCTATTGCTTCGACGATCTCGTCACTGTTGAGGATGGGTCGCTTCCCATCCAGCACCTGCAGCAGAACTTGAAATCCCAGATTCCCCACACATTTCAGCTGGACCTCCTCCTGTTTAGACTCTCTCATTCCTGACTGGAACAATGCTCTGAAGTACTCACAGTTTTTGACTACAGTGGGTTTATCCACAGTGAAAACACAGTCTTTAATGCTGACTCGCAGGCTGTCTGCTCCCTTATATTGTCCTGACTGTTGGCTCAAGTGTGGGCAGCTGCTGGACTCCATGACATCTGTTCCATAAATCTTCATTTCATCTCCAGTGGAACTGGAAACGACGAGAAAAGTTTGAATCACGCCAAACTACAGCACGTAGACTGCGTCGTACCACAAGCTTGAGCGAATCCCTCTGATCCAGACCAAGGGTATCTGACACTGTATAAACTATTTGTTTGCAGAGCTCTGACAACAGACTCTATACATAGCAGCTAGAGGTGTGTCACAGTTCAAGTACATTATGAGGACATGCAGCCAGAGCAGAAAGAGGAGCTGGATAGTAGCTGTCAGTGTGCTGATGATTCACCCTTCATTTGTGGCTGACAGTTCTGGAACAGCTGAAGCTTTGTCCTTGATCGACATAAGCAGGCAAACTAAAACAATGGGCTTTTCCCCAGGGGCAGGGAAAGAAAGAGTGCAGGACCTCCACTGGTATCTTTATCTTATGTTTATTGTGTCTTTTTCCAACGTGTTTCCAACACTACAGTCGACATAAAGGCAAATGTACAGGTCTACACAGGTTATAGTAAGATTCTGCTCATAATTTCAAAATTAGAGTGAAGTTACTCACCC